GGCCTCCCAAAGTGCTGGGATTACAGGCTTGAGCCACCGCGCCCGGCCTGATGAGAATTTCTAAAGTTAGATTGTGGTGACAATTGCCAGCTCTGTAAATTTATTAAAAATCATCAAGTTGAAACTTACAAGGGATGAATCTTATGACATACAAATTATACCCCAATATAGCTGTTTAAAAACAAATACCCGGCCAGGCGCGGTGGCTCAAGCCTGTAATCCCAGCACTCTGGGAGGCCAAGGCGGGCAGATCACGAGGTCAGGAGATCAAGACCATCCTGGCTAACACGGTGAAACCCCATCTCTACTAAAAAGTACAAAAAACTAGCCCGGCGAGGTGGCGGGCGCCTGTAGTCCCAGCTACTCAGGAGGCTGAGGCAGGAGAATGGCGTAAACCCAGGAGGCAGAGCTTGCAGTGAGCTGAGATCTGGCCACTGCACTCCTGGGTGACAGAGCAAGACTCCGTCTCAAAAAACAAAACAAAACAAAACAAAACAAAAAAACCCCCAAATACCCAAAGATTATAAATCATTCTACTATAAAGACATATGCACACGTATGTTGATTGTAGCACTGTTCACAATAGCAAAGACTTGGAACGAACCCATATGCCTATCAATGATAGACTAGATAAACAAAATGTGGCACAGGTACACCATGGAATACTATGCAGCCATAAAAGAGAATGAGTTCATGTCCTTTGCAGGGACGTGGATGAAGCTGGAAACTGTCATTCTCAGCAAACTAACACAGGAACAGAAAACCAAACACCACATGTTCTCACGCATAAGTAGGAGCTGAACAATGAGAACACATGGACACACGGAGGGGAACATCAGACACTGCAGCCTGTGGAGGGGTGGGGGACTAGGGGAGGGACAGCATTAGGAGAAATACCTAACGTCGATAATGGGTTGATGGATGCAGCAAACCACCATGGCACGTGTATACCTATGGAACAAACCTGCATGTTCTGCACATGTACCCCAGAATTTAAAGTATAATAAAAACAAAGAAAGAAAAGTTATAACTTTGGCTGGGAAGTAACAGGTGTAAATAAACAAGGAAATACATTAATGATATGGAAATAGGGCAAGTAAAAACAATGCTTGCTAAACACTCTGTTCGACGGATTCATACCGTTACTGCAAATTGGATGTACTCTATTTGACATTCTCTAGTTATGGGACATCGTGTCTGCTCTTTCAGTGCTACAGTCAGCATGGTGATGAAATGTTCTGGTTTAGGATTACTTCCTCAAACTTGTTTCCCAGAAAAGGGCTTCCTAGGTCAAAAGTTACGAAAATTTTCTAAGGCTCTCAATATGATGACAAATTATTTCTTCAAGCGTGGGACAGATTGAGAGCTACGGTTTCCTGCCCTCACCTCATCTCCCAACTATGTTACCAAGGACTCCCTCCACAAAGAAAACCCCATGATTCACGGTGTTAGAAGTAAGAATAGTGGTTTCCCGGCCAGGTGCGGTGGCTCACGCCTGTAATCCCAGCACTTTGGGAGGCCGATGGGGGGGCAGATCACGAGGTCAGGAGTTCGAGATCAGTCTGGCCAACATGATGAAAACCTGTCTCTACCAAAAATACAAAAAATTAGCTGGGTGTGGTGGCATACACCTGTAATCCCAGCTAATTTGGTGGCTGAGGCAGGAGAATTGCTTGAACCGGGGAGGCGGAGGTTGCAGTGAGCCGAGATTATGCCACTGCATTCCAGGGCAACAGAGCAAGGCTCCATCTCAAAAACAAAACAAAACAAAACAAAGCGAAAAAAAAAAAAAAACAAGAATAGTGGTTTCCCTTGAGGAAATAATGACTAGAAGGGAGCATGAGGGAAGTTCTAGGTCTCTGTTCACTTTTTGAACTGAGATGTGATTTACATACAGTAAAACGTCCAATCTTAATTGTATAGCTGGGTGAAGTTTTGCGTATGATACACTTGTGCAATCATCCCTCAGATCAAGATACAAGGCATTTCCTGAGCCCCAGAAAGTTCTCTCATGCTTCTTTTCAACCAAAAGCTCCTCTGACCTCCTTTACCATAGATTAGATTTGCCTGTTCTTGAACTTCTTATAAATAAAATTATAACTTTAAAATCTTGATCAGGGTGCTAGTTATATTGGTGTGTTCTTTCTGTAAGAGCCACTGAGTTATACCTTATGATCATATATTTTTTTGATTGTATGTTATATCTCAATAAATGTGTGGGGCCAAGAGGAAGAATATTTCAGGGCGCTGTTCACTCTGTGGCCTGCGTTGTCCTGCCTGCCCATCCTCTGCGCAGGGGTAGCTGACAGGGTCTATACCTGACTGTGCCCATTCCCCCATGGGGTCTTGGTTTATGGTGTTGGTGGGGTGGGAGTAGGGCTGTGCCCATGAGCTAACCTGTCTCTCCCTTCTCTCCCCACTGTGTCCCTGTGTGTCAGTTCTGTTTCTATCCATCTCATGTGCTGCGTGTGTCTGTAGCGCCTCATTCCGTGCTGTCTGGCAGGAAGCTCCATCTCATCTCATCATCTCACGGCCCTGGCACTGCCTCAGCATGGCCATCTCATCACGCCTCGCCCTGTGGGAGCAGAAGGAAAGTGACACTCATGGCTGGGGCTGCAGCCATCCGCAGGGACTGACTCGACCCTCGGGAGACAAGTCCAACCTTTCCCACCTTGAGTGGGGAGTCTGATGTCCAGCCCTCCTTGTAGCATGTGCAATCCCACCTTCAACGTTCTCCCAGCCAGCTCTGCTAGCCTTGGCCTTTCCAACCCAGCTGGACACTGATGGCCACACCCTTGACTCCCCCTAGGGCTGCCTGGTCATTTCCAGTTCCTCAGGTGGTGGTGGGGAAATGGGGGGTAGACCAGCTGTCCCAGCTGAATCCTCATGGCAGCTCTGATGAGCACTGGAGTTTGGGGTGGGAGGAAGGGCACATGGGGGGCAGAGGCAGGGCTGTCAGCTGCCAGGTTTATACCATAGGGGTGGGTTTCTGTGGTCCCTGCCTTCGAGCACCACAGAGAACTGGAAACGGGCTCTCCTTATTCCCCTTTCGTACTTCTCATGATATGCTACGAAGGGCTGCCTCTTTCTAAGATGCGTGTTACCTCCCGCACCCTCACTCCAC